AAAAAAAAAAAAAAAAAGCTGGAAAATATTTTTTCACCTAATAGGTGAAAAAATATTTTCCACCATTTGTGCATCAAAGGGTTGTACCTAGAAAAAGGGAGGAAAACATTTTCCATGGAAAATTTCGCATATCAAACAGTCAAAAAAGTGGAAGTAGGAAAATATCTTCCTACTTCCATGGAAAATTACGCGAATCAAACGGAGCCTAACAGCAACATTGTTCTCAAAACTTACTATTTAGTGTCAGAGGACAAGTGGTTTCACTTGCTATGGGATCAAGAAGTGAATGAATATAATATTTTATAGGTTGAAAACTAAATCAATCAAACGCATTTAATTAATAATTTCCATAAAAATAATTTCTAGGCAATTGAGTTGCCTAAAATTTATTTTATTTTCTTGCAAATTTCATACTCGCTATCAAACGCACCTTTAATGTAGTTTAGATTATCTAAATTTGTTTAAATAATATGGTTGAATTATTTTTTATACTTTTGTATTTGTCAGTGTATTTAATTTAGGAGTATGTATTTAAGGTTGACTTCTATTAAATCATATGAGGATTGATTTAATTTAATTTTTTACGATTAATACCCATTTTAAATAAATCGGGGTGCTTATTCCCTCCTCTAGTATAAATATAACTCGACATAAAACGTGTTAGTAAATAGAAAAGATATTGAAATGTATAAATTTACTTATAAGTAAATATAACTAGAAAATTTACCAATAAGAAGAAAAATCAATATAGAATTCCTTTAACATCTAAATCTGATTAATGAATATGGATGAATTAACATTTTACTTTATTATAAGTATTTGATTTTTATCGATCATTTGGTGTCAGGGGCGGAGCTAGACTTTTTGTATTGTAGGATCAAAAATTAAAATACAATTAAAGAAATTAACATTAATTAAAATAAGTCAATACATTACTACAGTTAGAGTTTACACGTTTTCATACTTTGGAAATTAGAGTTTTCTCGCCTCGAATACTACTCGAACAAAATCAAGCGTGTTACGAGCGCCTTAAGGATGCTCGAGCAGAACTTGGGCGCTAAAGGGCAGTAGACTTCAATAATTCGAGCTCTAGCATCTTCTTTTGGCCTTGCCGGTGCTCCAAGGACAGTTTACAATAGTGCAGCATCGATTATATGTTATATACTTAACCTACTCTCACTTAACACTAGGCAAAAATACAAGCCCCGAATCCAATTACAACTCGACAATTTCAACACAAATCCCAATAATAAGTAATAGATTTAGGTGAAAATGAGAGAAAAATCAAACATAAACATTAAAACCTTCAATTTCAAACATAAAAATTTTGTACTAGATTGAAGCATAGAGAATGAAATTGGAGATTGGGTGAGGGTTTGAAGGAAAGCCTCTTTTTTGTTTTTTTGAAGAATAAAGTAAACTGTAGTTTGTAAACGTGAATGGATAAAGGCCTATTACCGAATTTTTGAAAAAAAAAAATCAAAACAAAAAATTTTGTGGAGTCACTTGATCCCTCGTGACCCCATGCGAGTCCGCTCATGTTTAGTGCAATTAAAACCCGTATTAATTTAATTCAGAGTGTTTATCCTTCTTTAATCAACGGATAAAATTAATATGCTTTTGAGAGGGTTTCGACCAGATTAATTCACCATTTTATGAATTAGAAAAATGATAAATACACACATACTTACATCTAAAAAAATCACTTTTAAGCAAAATTCAATTCCAAGTAAAAACATTTACTTATAATTAAAAAAGCATACAAGTAAAAAAAAAAAAGTTATTTATAAGTAAGAAATTTACAATCAAAGTGAAAAAATAAATTCTAAATAGAAAATCGCTTGCGGAAGATACAAAACCCAATATTGGGTAAGAATTAGGGAAAAAATCATATTTAAGGTGTATTCTTCACCTTAATTCAAAAATAAGGTAAATTAAAATGGTGGGAAAATGATTTCCCTCATTTCAAGGAACTTGGGCGCATGAGGAGGGGGGGTGTTGGAAATTTTTTTGCCTAGAAAATATTGCTCATCAAACATGCCAAAACCTAGAAAATTGAACTTTTTTTCCAACTTCCCAAGAAAAAATGGCTTATCAAACATGGCCGAACATTTATTCCATCAAAAAATTATTTGTGATATCATTTTATTCATGAATTAATATCAAAAAAAGAAACGTAACAACATTCTCAAGGGCATTTTGGTCCCCCTTCATGTGTCTTGAAATTCAAGTAGCACGAACAACATTCTTTGTTTCCACAAGTTCCTGGCGGGACACAGTGACATCTTTGACAACAATAGTTGCAATAAAACAAACAAGGTTTCTTATGAGAGGTTTCTGAGCATCGTTGTCTGCATGCACTTCCACAATCTGAGACAGAAGAATATTCATTAACCACTTCAATTAAACCACTTGTAAAATTGATGAACAAACCTTCAATTAAACCACTTGTACAGAACTTTTTCATCAGTAAAAATGCCAGAATACTCACATGGGGTGGGCCCCATGTGAATAAAATATTATTATAAAAAATGGGGTCCACCCTTCATGTGTGTGTTCTGTTATTTTTACGGAATTTTTTTC